AGAGATGGGCCCTACTTCTGTCTCTGCCCGGGACTGCCATGCTTGATGTTTGGAGGTAAGATTTTCTTTTGATTTCTATGAGTCTTGTTTGTGTAATCAATAATTGAGAAAAAAATTACAGGGCCGGGGATTTAGCTCAGTGGTTTTGCCACCTGCTGCACAAGCGCAAGGATGCGAGTTCGATCCCCGGTACCAAAAAAAAAAAAGAAAAGAAAAAAATTACGATAACTAACCAAATTGGCTGATGCAGAGAGAATGTCAGGGGTGACAGACTTTAAGGACTCAAGACTGGGGAACTATGGAAGGAAGGGGGTGCCACTGAAAATTGGGGAACGCAGGCAGAGAGCTGAATGTGTCTTGAGCTGGCACCTAGGAGTCAATGATAGTACATGCAAGTGGACTGGCCTCAGAGGCAGAGCTGGTATGGCTCCTCTAATGGCAGTAAGTTTTTCAAAGAGGAGGGAATGAAAACAGTAGGAGATACCTTGGGGCTTGGCCAATGGGAAGGGTTTGAAGTAAGCAGAGCTGCTGAAGAAGGCCAGGAAATCCTGGAGCCAGCAAAGGAAGCACCAGAGAGTTCTGAGGGGGAGAGTGATTCAGCATAAGGTGAGTGCAAAGAGAATGTGAGCTTGGCAAGAAGAGGTTTTGGCTGGGCCTGGTGGCACATGCCTGTAATTCCAGCACTCAGAAGGCCGAGGCAGGAGGATTGCTGTGAGTTTGAGGCTAACCTGAACTGCATGGTGAGACCCTGTCCAAAAAACAAAAGAGAGAGGGAGAGAGAGAGAGAGAGACGATATTTCAGGAAGGTGTGTTGAGATGATGTTGAATAGCCTAAGAGGGAATTCATGTGGGGATGGAGGCTGTGGATGTTTGAGATGCTAACAAAAGTGCCTAAAGAATTAGCAGTTGGCCTGGAGGGCAGCAGGGCCAAGGAAGTGCAATCACTGCTGTTCCCTTCTGCAGGGATAGGCTGGTGGAAATGGGGTAGCCAGGAGTGGCGTCAGTTTGCTAGTCAGTTCTCTTTTTTGGGGGGGGGGGCGGTAAGCCAGGGCCTCAGTATCCAAGCTGCAAAATGAGACTTTGACCAAGACCCCCAAACAAAGAAAACCAAGACACCGTCCAACCTTGATGCTCCAATTTGGAACTTTCCACCTGGAGAGCTGGGGGCACTGGCAAACACCCACCTATCTATCCCTTGGGGCTGCAGAGGAAGGGAGGGGTCACTCTGAAGCAGTCAGTCCCTAGGCCCAGAGCTTGGGCCCCAGCAGCCATTTGATTTGTCTGGGAGGTAACAAGAGGACACATTGTCACGTTTGAGTCTCAAGTCCTAAAAAGGTGGAGAAGCACTGCACATGCAGACTCCCAGGGGTGCAGGTGAAGAGTTCTTGTGTGTGGAGATTTCAAAAGAAAGATCAGCTTCCTTTCCAACGTTTCCCAAGCCCCCTTGCCTGAGTTCCTTCCCTCCAAGCTTTGTTCTTAGAACACAGCTGCCTCCCACTAGTGGTTATGCAGTGGAGTTGTCTCCAGTCCTTCCCAAAGGCTGCAAAGGCTCACTGAGCCCTGGGGTGGCCTCCAGGGATTATTTGCACAGCATCTCGGTGACAGTTCAGGTGCTGCTGATGAATGGGTGGTGTGCTTCAAATAAAAGGGTGCTCCTTCCTGTGCTAAGGCCACAGTGCCAAACCGCCTCTTTCCCTCTAAGGTCAGAAAAACAAAGAGATCAGCAGCTTCCAAACTGACTGGGGAAACCTTGAATTCTTCAGATGTTTTGACGGGGAAGGACCTCTACAAAGCTTTGAATCTAACTTCACTTTAAAAATGCAGATTTTTAGCCAGATATGGCAACACATGCCTGGAATCCTAGCTATTGGGGAAGCTGAGGCAGGAGGATCATAAGCGAAAGCCCATCCTAGGCAATGTAGCAAGACCCTATCTCAAGATAAAATTTAAAAAAAGGTCTGGGAATGTAGTTCAGCACTCTCTGGGCTCAATCCCCAGTATTGCGAAAACAAACAAAAATTCATATTTTAAACCTGGTATGATGGTGCTAACCTGTAGTCTAGAACTCAGGAGGATAAGAGCAGAATTAGGAGTCTTAGGCCAGCCTGGGATACACAGGGAATTCAAGGTCAGCCTGGACTGTACAGTGAGACCCCATCTCAATAAAACAAAACAAAATAGGGCCAGGGATTTAGCTCAGTGGTTCCGGTTCCTGCCTCGAAAATGCAAACTCCCGAGTTTGATTCCCGGTACCAAAAAAAAAAGGGCTCGGAATGTGTGAAGGTCATGGGTTCAAGTTACAGTACAGCACTGAAAAAAAAAAAAGATGTGAGTAGCTCCATTTTGTGGATGGGACCTGGAGGCTCAGCAAGGAAAAGTCATACCCTTTGGGTATATCGACAAAATGCAGCTAATCATATCTATTTCAGAGAGATTCTGATTTCATGAGATAGAGTGCTGAGCTGTCCAATATTCAGGACACAGGAAGTAGTAAGTTGTTCCTTTTCCTTCCCACACCCTCTGCCCAGAGATGTACATATAGCACAGACTCCTCACCAGGGAAAGAAAACCCATCGGGACCCTACCTACCTTTCAGGACCCCTCTGCCTACCCACTTTTCGCCCTACAGAACCAACTCTCCAGATCGTCAAGAATTAAATGCGGAACAAGGCCTGGTAGAAGGTTGTGGGGTTTCTGTGTGTGATCCGACCTTTTCTTCACACAGCACTTGATATTTTTCCAATTTGTCTGCTAAAGCTCTTCAGTGGTGGCTCCAGTCGGCCCAGTCTCAGCGTTTTCCTTGGTGAAGCAGGCTGTGGAATGCGGTCTCTTTGGCAGCTGGTGTTTCTGCTCCCGGAGAAGCGCCCCTCCTTTTCCACCAACACTAAGCCAAGGAGCAGAAGAAGCTGGCGTTTCTTGTCTCTGTTTCACCTGGTACCCCTGAAAATTGCGGCTAGCTTTGCCAATACTTTTCTTGGCCCCGGAAGTGGAGGGAAGTTTGTTGAGAAGCTGTTCCTAATTTCTCACTTGTTGAAAAATTACCCCACACAGAAGGAAGCGTGGAAACTGCGGATTTCATTCGATTACTGAGCAGAAGCTACTAGAGCCCTCAGATTGAGAAACATTGGTACAGAGCAAGTATTTAACACTAATTATTTTGCTGGGGATGAAATCCAGGGCCTCACACTCTACCACTGAGCTACCCCTCTTGCCCTTACATTTTCTATTTTAATGTCACGCTTATCACCTTATAGTCTCTGAATCAACATCCCCAAAGGCGACTGAAAGAGCCAGGTGGGGACTTTGCAGATGAATACAGGGACTCCCTTGAGAAAGGTCTGAATTTCTTTGAAAGGCAATTGTTCCTTCCCAGTTAGGACTGTCTCAAGATAATTTTTCTTAGTTTTTTGGGCATTATAGCCTAATAAATAAAATAAGAGTCCAGGCAAGAATTCTGTCCCTGCCAGGAGCAACTAGCTGAAGAGTCTACAATCTGTGGATCAGACACGTACCTAAAAATTTTTTTTGAGAGGAAGCCTTTGGCAACCCTTCTAACTTGTGTTCAGAAGAAACAGGCCCTATTTTCCACAATAGGCAGCTCAGCCAACACCAGCAGGAGGGAGGAAGCACTCTTCTGTGCCTGCAGGTCTATCCCTGAATGCTACGGAAATAGCAGCTGCCAGGGCAAGAGGAGTAAGATGGACATCAGAATCATGATCTAAAAAGGCAAAGACTAGATATTCTGATGCTTGTTGCGGATGCAGCTTGTAATCAGCCCCAGGATAAGTCGCCATGTGGACCTTTTATTAAAGTGAGCCCAGGGAGGGCCAGGGATTTAGCTCAGTGGTTCCGCTGCCTGCCCATAAGCACAAGGCTCTGACTTCAATCCCCGGTACCAAAAAAAATAGAAATAAAGTGAGCCCAGGGAAAGCAGTGACCATCTAGGCCTGCCCGGCAGACTTGCATCCTGGCAAATGGTAACAAACAATTATCGTTTCTCACTGGCCATGGCTTAGAGCCTCACATGCAACCTGGTCTGTTCGGCCTTCACAGCCCTATTGATTGTTTTTTGGTACCGAGGATCGAACTCCGGTCCTTCTGCTTTCAAGGCAGGCGCCGGAACCACTGAACTAAATCCCTGGCCCTACAGCCCTTTTGATTTTAATTCCCTCTCACATGGATTGAAAGCTGAGGCTTGGAGGATCAGTGACTCCCCAAACTTTCCCAGTGTCAAAATGCCAGAATCAGACTGCAGAGCAGGCTTCTGTGGAAGTTTCCATTCCAGTCTGCTTTCTTTTCAATGGACAAATTCTTCATAGGCCACTGCTCACCAGCGCCTCCCATGCTTGGCTATGTAGGTGAGAAGGCAGGGAACTGGTAGGTAAATCAACTTACACTGCCCTTCTGAGTGGGTAACTCGGAAGCTTTTCTATTCTCATTAGACAGATCCCTGGCTGCCCTACTGAAGGAGGGAGCTGGTGACAACAAAGAATGGAAACTAGGTAATAATCATGCAGCCAAACTAATGGAAGTGCTGTGGCAGATTTTCCACTGTTGAAAGAAACACCTGACTTCTCCAAAAGTTTTCATTGCAAAGTGCCCACCCAGTTATGAAGGAAACAGGATTAACTTACTGTATACAGGAGAGGAATTGCTTGGCAGCCACATGGGAAAGCAGGCTGTGTTTGGAACGGGGAGCATAGGGATGGGAATGTCAACAGGGTAGAAACTCAGGATTCCAAATTAGAAACTGGAAACTTTACACACATTCAGAGAGAGGTTGCCATCACAGCTGGACAGGCCAACACCTAGCTCAAAACTGTCACATTCCCTTCTTGTGCACTGCTTCCTTGGACTGTATGGGAAGGGGTGCATCTCCACCTGATCTCACTGGGGAGGGCTGTCTCAGGGGGCCAGACCCCAAGGTTCATGGGCTTGCTAATTCTTTCCTACAGTCCCTTCTGTTTTATGTCAGCAGTAGGAAAAGACATTCTAGCAAATGATATCCAGTAATGCTTTAATTAACTGCAGTATTTTGTATTCCAATATGCACCAACGAATCAGTTCCAGATGGGCAAAATGATATTTACACAAAAAGCAATCCCTTTAAAGAAATCTAGATTTCCCAAAGGTATAGAACTTTAGGGTCCAAGAAGCTATTTTGATAGATACTAGGAGTGGAAATTTGTATTTAACATATAAAATGCAATGGTATTCTTTACATCTGCCAGCTTTTCAAGAGTCTACATTTCCAAGGCTAGTACTTAAATGGCCCAATGCAGTCAGTTCTAATGATTTTATTTTTAGGAATCTGACTTGGAATAGACAAGAAGTGTGGAACACTTGCCTTCACCTTCATGCAAGCGTTATTTTGAGACTTCTCTAAGGAATTACATATCCAGCTGTGCACTTCTGGCATTTCCCTTAGCATTTGTAAACAGGGAAAGACACTTCCTTATCCAGCAGGAATTCAGGATGGACCCACGAAACGTCCCCTGCACCAGGCAGCGTCTCCAACCTGGTATTATCCTGCATGCCTGTCACTGTATTGCTGTTCTCAGCTTCTCCGCTTTCATTCCTGTTTGATCTGCCTGGAGGAGCCATTCTAGTTGTAAGAAAACACACACCTTATCTGAGTGCTGGGCAAGCCTTGGGTACTGGTTCTTTGTTTTGCCAGAGAGGAGTAGTGATAGCTTTAATTCCAGAACTGAATTTGGAGATCAAAACATCCTGTCCATTGTGGGTATGGTCCAAATGGAACTTTGTACAGCCTACCACTTTTTATTTTTTTCAGCCTACCACTTTTGAAGCCAGGTATCCAGGAAGTCACTCCATAATAAGCAGCAGCGAATTTTTTATTGATAAGTTACCAATTTTTATTTTAAAATTTTATTTTGTCATTGGGGATTGAACTCAGGACCTTGCTCTTGCAAGGCAGGTGCGGTGCCACTGAGCTAAACCCGTAGCCCACCAATTTTTATTTTAACGCAAAGTGAATTCAAAGCTTTTTTTTTTTTAAGGCTAGAAAAAAATGTGTTGGGAGGGATGGGCACAGTATCTAACTTTAGCCAAATCATTGAGTTTGTCAGTTATTTTATCAATGTATAATTCTTTATATATGTTCTTTGGAAGTGATAATAATAAATAAAGCTGTTTGGGGTGTGGTCACCAAAATAAGAACCCTAATCAGTATGAGCAGAGCCCAATGGTTCCAACCATTTAACACAAGTCTAAAACTAAAGCTGCTAACTATTAGCAAAGACCACTGTGCAACAGCTAAACTTCGAGAACCAGAAAAACATACATTTAGGAAAATGGGCTATAAGATCCCTTCAATAAAGCAAATTTCTCCCTATTGCAGCAAATCTTAACAAAGAGCAAACATTATAGGGTCAGGCCTCTGTATCTATGGGTTCCATCATAAGCAGGTCATTGTGCTAGTATTGAATATGTACAGACATTTTTTCTTGTCAACATTCTGTAAATACAGTATGACTATGTGTGTAGCATTTACATTGTATTAGGTAGTATAAGTTGTTTAGAGATGACTTGTAGAGGAGAATGTACTAAGAACATATGCAAATACTATTTTATTTTATATCAGGAACTTGAACATCTTATTTAGGTATCCATGGGAGGTCCTGCAGCCAATCCTTTGACATTGACAGACAACTGTAATCACCTACAGAGCTTTTGAACCTACATGCCAGGATCCTCTGCAGACTTACTGACTCAAAATCTCCTGGCACCTGCATTTAAAAAAAAAAAACCCCAGGTGATTTTGATGTATCTCCCCAGGTGAGAAACATGCATCGTCTTTACAGAATGCACACAGTATTCAGTCCCCATCAATGAGACATTTAACGTAACTCCTACTGACATCTGTTGGCTCCTTGGGGATTACTGACAATGTAATAAATCAAGAAAGCAACCTCCCTGGCTGTGACCACCAACTGGGAAAAACAGCAGCTTGACACCTCAATGTCATAATGGAGACATCTAGAAAACTCCTCATAAGTGAACCAAAAAGAGAAGTGTAGATCTGTAAACACCAAGAGTGACAAGAACCAGGTGCAGGAGTCTACTGGCTTTCCCAGCTCCCTGAGGTCGATGACAGATGGCTGAATTGGCTGCGCTGTTTGGAGATGGGCCCACCACCCTTTCCTTTCAATTAGTGCAGGCCGTATAACCCCAGCAGAGCTACACCACAGCAGAGGAATCCCTCCCTTTAGCATCCAGGATTCGTTCCAACCCCCTTCCCACCCTTCCTGCACTTGCCTAATTCAGAATCTCTTCCTGATACACACCTCTTTCTTTCACCACTCTTTTCTTCTCAGTGTTCTCATATTTGAAATGCTGAATACATAAGAGCCTTACTGAGTACCAAGAACATACTGAAAGCTGATGGAAACATGGGAATCTGAGGCTGTGGGTGTAGCTTAGTGGTAGATTTTGCTACATGCACACAGCCAAACCCACACTCACACTCACACCCACACCCACAAGGATCAAAGCCGGGACTGATGGACAAAGTCAGAGAGAAAGGCCGATGGAAAAGGCAAGGGGAACAATATAGAGTGGTTACAAGGGAAAAACAGTTGGGGACAAATAATCGATGTTCCTGGTCAGCTTTTCAATCCTTGGAGGTGTCCTACTGTATGACTGTCACAGGTTTTATGGATTTTTCAGAAAACTTCCAATCCTGAAAACTCACTTCTGAGTGTTACACGATATATTCTTTTCCGGTGAGTGGTGCTGGGGATGGAACCCAAGCCTTCAAGAATGCTAGGCAAATGCTCTGCTGCTGAGCTACACCCCTAGCCCTTGGTATCTCAATTTTATCCTGAGGCCTATTATGTACATTCTCTGTGGAGAGCTCTACCCTCCTCCTCAGCATTCTCCCTCCCTGGCCGTTACATATAATACCTGAAAAAAAGCTGTTACTCACAGAAGTCACTCTGAGGGTGCAGACATGGTTAACTGAGCCTTGGTTTCAAAGGACCAACGAACTGGGGTGACTCCCTGAAATGTCACCCATTCCTTGGATGCAGGATGTCGTGAGAGGACTGAAGTAGCTCTCGGGGCAGTTTCTGCAGAGTGCTGCTGCCAAGAGCCGATGGTAGTTGGGGAGGGCAGGCTGGGGTCAGGGTGTGCTCTGGGCACTGCCAGGTACTGAGTTTGGCGTGCAGTGACAACATTTCTGCTCTTAGGCAGCCAACGACTGGGTTCTTTCTGGTTAGTAGCACAGCAATGTGCCACTCTGGCACTGCACATTACTTTCTGTTGTTTCAGGTGGCTAGAAAGTGCTCGACTTGGAAATGAATGAACAGGAAGAAGATCAGATGATGTAGGCCTCCTACTCCCTCCCACAGCTTCATCTGCAGAGAAAGCCCAGGAAAGGCTTTCTGAGAGAACTTTCTGGTTTCCCTACTTAGAGGGCAATCTCTTCCCTAGAACTCTGGCAGAGTGGGAATAAAGAAATGGAGAAAGTGATCTGCTCACATATCCTGGTGCCTGTGCCAAGCAGAACTAAATCTCTAAGTCAGATCTGGGTTGGCTTCCACACAAGGTCAGGAGCCTGTGGCCAGGATACTGACAGCCAACACCTGGAGCATGCAGTCCTCCCTGGTGAGGACAGAGAGGGCATCTATCCTGTGGAGAACACCAAGAAATGAGAGAACATGGGTAAACCTGGCCGTGACATAAAAGGTACCAGGAGCATGATATGTACCAGAAAACAGATTTACATGGAAAAGTGCACATGCTTCCATTGCCTTCATAAAGAAAGTCTGGTGTCCTGTCCTGCAATCTGCTCTTTCATCACTCAAGCCTGACAGCCGATCCTAGAGACAGGGAGGAAAACCCCAAACAGTAGTAGGGGAGGAAGGTCCATACTTCCTCACCCAAGCCACCTGTGTGTGGTAGGGGGTAGGGCCCATGATTCAGAGGGTATGACTGCCATGGAAGGCTATATAAGTCCATGACAACTCCACCATTAAGGGCAGTCTGGAAACAGTGACTGAACCAGAGCCTTTTCACTTGTGGCTGCCTCTGATTCAGGAATGAGAGATAATACAAACTGCCTTTTTATAACCCAGCCCAAATCAGTTTCCCCAAGTGGGACAGGAATTAAGACAGGGCATGAGAGGGCATATTAACAACCCCAATGTCTCAGGAAGTCTCAAGACTGAGGATCTGAGAGTCATGCGCTTGCGAGGGGGTGGTCGAGGGCTTCCAAAAACTGAGTGCTGAGGGTCGAAGGGAGTGAGTGCTCCTTGTGCTCCTACAGTCTCTTCTTAATTAGTTTCTCAAGTTTTCGGATTCGAGATGATTCCTGTTCTGGGGTGGGTGCCATCAGGGACAGGGAGCTGGAACCTTCTGCCCCTGAGGGTGGGGTGGGGAGCCTCTGGCGCAGGAGCTCCAGCATGCTGCTCTGCTCACTCCTCTTCAGCCCCTGGGGAGAGAGAAAGGAGCAGGCTCAACAGGTGGCCCCACTAGAGCACTGGGGTGACGCTAAGGACAAACGCTTTCTTCAGAGGAATTACCAGTCCTGGGAAGTAACCTGAGAGAAAAACTGAGGAAGGAAAAACAAAGTACTAGGGTAGCCATGAAGGAAGAGGTTCGAGAGAAGGACAGGGAGATGGAGGGAAGGGAAACTCTTCTCCTCTTCCTTCTTCCCCTTCTGCTGTCCTCTGCTGAGTGGTGGCTCTCAGCTGGCCAAGGAAGTCTCAGAATCCTACAGCCACATGCCTAGGATCAGCCTCCCAGGAAGGATTCATCCATTCCTTCCAGGAAGGAAGTAATCCAGACTGCAGGGTGGGGCCAGCAACATGCATTTTGAAGCAGCCCCCAGGAGTCTCACCCCCCAGTGTGAGAACCAGGAGTGGCAGTGGACAAAGTAAGATACTGGGCCCACCTTCATGTCCAGTATCTTCTGGAAGGTTTCTGTGTTGCAGTCTGTAAGGAGTTTGATGTAGTTGTCCACAAACACCACCAAGGGCTCATGAGGGGCCATCACCACCTACCAAGGGAGGGGACAAGAGTAAGCCCTCAGGGAGAACTCTCAGTTAGAGGGCATTTGCTAGCTGCCTACGAAGGGGACCTGCAAAATTCCCTTAAGCACCAGTAACCCTAAACTCAAGAAATGCCTGATGCCTATTTAATCTTCATAATAAATTGCAGGAGTATTTCTAACAGTTGCCAGATCATAAATATCACCTGAGTTGCTTCTTAACATACAGAATCCTTAGGTTCCACCTCTGAGGATTCTAATTCAGTAGGCCTGGCTGGGAGATTTGTAATTGTTGGGACCATTTGGGAAATGCTACAATAGTCGTCTCCTGTGTGTGTGGGGGGGGCATTTCATGAGTACAGGGTATCTGCTCTTTCTATTTCTGAAAAACAGGCAGCAAAAGGAACAGATGTAAGTGGATTTTCTAAAAAACAACAACTCAAAGCTGCCTCACTCTCTCTTTTTTCCCTCCAGTACTGAGGATTGAATGCAGGGTCTCCCATAATAGGCAAGCACTCTACCACTGAGCTACAGCCCAGCTCAACTGCTTCAGTCTTTTGAAGACCTATAATCTTGAACTTCATTTAACCTCATTCATTTAAACCAATTAATATATAAACAGATGGTATCACATTCATTTCCATTTGGTTTTGGCATGTGGCATCTGACTTTCTTCCCCAGCTGACTGATCTTGTTTTGAGTTCCTGAGAATGTACCAAAGGGTGGCAAGGAGTAGTGGCCTCAGAAGTCCTCTGCAGATAATTCCCACACTGTATGCTCTCCTCCCTGGACATAAGCCAGCTGGGGCAGGAAGCCATCAGGCAGCTTCTGGTTTTCTCAGGCCACCCTCAAGGTCTGTACAGGAGCCTCACCAGGTCCCATGGTATCTGCAGACCACTGCCACTCTTCACTCCTGCCATCACGGAGTCATTCTGTTTGGGAAATGACCCTGAGGAGCCTGCAGGCCCCGGACTCTCAGACCTTAACAGGATAGTGCAGTTTCTTCTCTAGCCTCCTCTCCTTTCACCACAAGTACAGGTGGAAATCAAAGGCAGATGTGCCAAGCTGCAGATATTCTCAGCACCATCACCTGAAGCACAATCTTTTGTTAAATGAGGCTTTAAAAAACCCATTTGCTGATTAGATTCACTTACTACAACATCTGTTCAGAGTTCATTTAAAGGTGCAAAGTATAGAAAGCCAAAAAGGGTTATGTAGAAGGGAGGAACTGACAGCTGGGCCTGAAATTTCTGCTGAGAAGCAAAAGGATCCCTGACTGATACACTAACTCACAATGACAACACCACCTCACTCCCAATCTTGGCTAAATCTGATTATGAGGGAATCCCGTGACAACAGAGAATTCATTTGTCAGAAAGAATTACTGATCCCCAAGTAAGTATCTGCTGACTTGCAATAATATCTGATGAGGCCACAATTTAGCCCAGCCAAGGAATGTGACAATCCTTTGGGAATGGTGGAGAAATGTCCTCCTGACCTTCAAAACCCAAACTTCCTGGAATAAGGAAGGGGGTCAAATAAATAACCAGCCCTCTTTGGCAGAATCCCCAAGGAAAACACAACCATCACCTTGAGGATCATTTCAGCCCGGGTCATGCCTTTCACAACAATTTTAGTGTAGCTGGCAGGTGCCTTCCTCACCACCTGTGAGCCAATGGAAGGAAGGTCAAGCAGGACCATCTTCAGGGAGTGGGTATCCAGCAGCAGCTGTGGGTCAAAGCAGAGCATTACTAGCCACTTCAGAGGAACAACACTTTGTAGAGCCATGGTGATTCTGGTTATACCTACAACACATTCATATTGCAGAAAACCTGGAAAATAAACAGATCTCTAAAAGAAAAAAAATTAAGGTGTGGTGGTGCATGCTTGCAACCCCAGGACTCTGGGAAGCCAAGGCAGAAAGATTATAAGTTCAAGCCCAGCCTGGGCAACTAAGCAAGACCCTTTCTCAAAATAAAAAATAGAAAATGGGCTGGGGATATAGTTCAGTGAAAGGGTCTTGGGTCCAATCCCTAGCAACACACACACACACACACACACACACACACAAGAAAAAACTGTATTTCCCATTATCCAGGAAAAACAACATCAAGATACCACAATTATTTATTTATTTATTTTTGGTACCGGGGATCGAACTTGGGTCCTTGAGCTTGCGCAGCAGACGGCGAAACCACTGAGCTAAATCCCCGGCCCGAGATACCACAATTAAATGGGGTATAATTCCTGCTGGTCTGTGTATGTGTATAAAAAAAAGTGTACATATAGTTTAAAATGGTTTTTTTCACTTAATATATAAAGTTTTTGCATTCTATTATCCCATTTTGGGAGTACTGTATTAAAAAAATCATAACTTCTAATGGCTACATAGTACTCTATGGGGTATGAGTGTGTATAAGTTTAAGGTATTAAACTATTCTGTTTTAATTTGCTCCTAGATTTTTATTATTAATAACAAATACTAAGGTGGACAGCCTTATATTTTAGATGCTCAATGGCATTTCCATAGGAGATTTTGTTTTGGTTGAGACAGAGTTCTCACTAAGTTACCCAGGGTGGCCTTGATCTCACGATCTTCCTGTTTTAGCCTGAGTAGCTGGGATTATAGGAGAGTCTGGGACAGGCCAAAGTATGAGAACATTTTAACATTCCCAATACAAATAGGAATCTCTTTCCAAATGGATTGTACTTGTTTACACATCTGCCAGCAACATACACTTTGCCCTCATTGGCGGTGAAAACTGTCATAAAAATATTTTATTTATTAGGCAAAAACAGTTGCTATAGTATTTTGAGTTTCCCTGGATGCTAGGTGAGGAGGTGGGAGATTCAACCAAATTTAAATGTATCTTGGCAACAGCCCATCATTTCCTGTTGTTTGTTGGTCCTAGTTCTCTTGGATGCTAATTATTTGGAAGAGTATCAATTTTCCTGGGTGACTACCAATTGCCAGGAATAATGCTAGGAATGTTACATCACATTTAGTCTTCGTGAGGACTTGCTTTTAAGAAAAAAGTCAAGAGCTGTCAAGTGTTGGGGCTATGGATGAAGCTCAAGGGTAGAGCACTTGGTTAACGTGACCAGGCCCTTGAATGAATCCCCAGCACCACCAAGAAAAAAGAAAGGAAGGCAGGAAGGAAGGAAGGAAGGAAAGTAAGAAAGAAAAGAAGGAAGGAAGGGAAAGAAGGAAGGAAGGAAGGAAGAAAGAAAGAAAGAAGAGGAGGGAGGGAGGAAGGGAGGAAGGAAAGGTAGGAAGGAAGAGAAAGAAAGAAAAGAAAGTAAGCAAGCTGGCGTGAGTCTGGCACTGAAATGCTTAGTATACATTAATTCAAGCACTTTGGGGAACTTGGTAATATTTTCTTAATTGAAGATGCATATAACCTAAGTCACAGCATTTTAACTTATATCCTTTAGAGAAATTCTTGCCCATGTAGAAAAATGTTCCTTGTACCCACTCTTTGCCAAAGCAAAAGACTGGAAACAACCTAAGTGTCTATAAAGAGTAGAATGAATAAACAAATTGTGGCTTATTTATGCAATGGTATATAGTATTGAAGTTAAAATGAGTGAACACAAACAACATCTCAACATGTGTAAATCTCAAAAAGCATTCAGTTGGGCAAAAAAAGCAAGAGGGGAAATGGTATGTATAGTATGATTTATATAAAGCTTAGAAATAAGCAAAACAAAACTACATATCACTTGTGAATATATACACATATACCAAAACACATATGGGAATGTAAAAATCAAAATCAGAATAGTGTTCACCGCTACGCGCAGAGGGAGGGTAACAGCAGGGTGGAAAAACAGGGGGCTTCAATAAGTAACTAGGGATTTATTTTACATAAAAAAAAGATCTAAGCAAGCGTGGAAATATGTCAAATTTTACTGAGCTAAGTGGTGAGCTGATGTTTTTTACATTATTTTCTACTTTTATTAAGACGAAATCTCTCTCTCTGTTTCGCTATGCCATTTGAGGCCTGGCAAGTATTCAACTTTGTCTTCTACGTAGCAAATTTTCAGAGCCCCATCAAAATCAAAGCCATGTCTTAGCATTTATTTGTTGGGGAGGGGTCCAAAGATTACATTTTAAAACATATGGGGATATTTTTAAGTTTTTCTACATTTTTTACTTCCCAGAGACATTTTATACGCATAAATAATTGTATAGTTTTAAGTGACAGGAAGAGTTTTTAATGAACCAGACATAATTCTCCAATGTCTTCCATATCTTAAGGAGATATGACACTTTCATTCCCTGGCCAGTCACAATAAAATTCTGTTTGTATTAGACAGCTGAAGAGATGAAAACCTTGGTCTCAGGTTTTACATGAAGCAATGCAGTCTGAAAAGATGAGAACTAGTGTGACAGATTTAGCAGCTGTCTTTGGGAACTGAAGATAAAAAGTCCCATTTATGGTGAAAATCTGCTAGTTTTCACCTTTCAAAGTACCTAACAGTTCAGCTTCTTAAGCTTGGGACACTGGGCAAGAGGTGGCCATTTGCTGAGTTCATTTGCACCTCAGAGACAATCTTTGGGATGGAGTTGCTGGCTGAGATGTTGAGGGGCTGAAAGGTTGGCCAGCATGATATGTGGTCAAAGTGCACTGGAAACCTTAGAAGGAGACCCTTACTACTTAAAGAGCCTCCTGCAATTCTTGGGGGTCACATGGCTTCCAGAAGGAATGTGTATCTCCAGCAGACAAGATAAAGGCACACTCCTAGAATGCAAAGAACTATACATGGCACCAGAATTCTTTAGGGAGGTGGCACAGGGAAACAGGTCAAGATACCAAGAGGAGATGGACAAACATGAAGATATGCTCTGTTTCTTTTCTGTTCTCCCTCTCCCTCCATTCCTCGGTAGTGCTGGGGATGGATCCCAGGGCCTCATGTATGCTAGGCAAATGCTCTACCACTGAACTACACCCCAGCTCTTCCTCTTTTGTAAAATTCAGGTATGGCTTATATAGAGCAAAGAACACAAATACCAAACTCAGTAATCTTTTCCATATGGACACACCTGACTGACTGAATTTCTAGGAGGTTTCTGGTCTCCCCAAGGGCTTCTTCATGTTGTCTTCTGGTCAATGATCTCTTTGTCTCCCAACAAAAGTAACCATTCTTTTGCCTTTGATCACTGACTAATCATTTATCACCCCACTCTGAATTTTTTTGTAAATGTCTTTAGTGATCATCACCTCTTTCTTCTTGAGGAAACTTCTGGATAATGGGCAGACACATGCCAGCTGTAATAGAGACTGCCAAGTAGTATTTCAGTGTAGCTGTGTTAACTGCCATTCTTGCCACCATGGGACAAAGTTCCAGTTGCTTTACATCCTCACCAACGCTTGGTATCACCAGTATTTAAAAAACTGTAGCCATTCTGAAACTGAGTTTAATTTTATACTTCCCTGATGATTAATTTGTCTATTTGCTTTTTGCATATCTTTTTTTGTTTGTTTGTTTTTTGAGACAGGGACTTGCTATGTAGTCCAGGCTTGCCTTGAACTCACTATGTAGCTCAGCCTGGCCTTGAACTCTTGGCGATCCTCCTGCCTCAGCCTCCTAAGTGCTGGGATTACAGGCATGTGCCACCATGCCTGGCTTGAGTATCTTTTTAATTTTTTTTGGTGGTACTGGGGATGGGTATCTTTTTTATTGTCTATTTAAGGCATTTTTTTGTTGGTTATCTTTTAAAAATTGATTTGTTGGAAATGTTCAGTAATATATCCATAGTATATGAATATTTTGTTAGTTATATGTGTTTCAAATACAGTCTCCTTCTCTGGCTTACTTTTTAATTTTCTTAGTGGTATCTTTTGATAAAAATAAGTCCTTAATTTTAAGTACTCCAAATAACCAATCTTTTTCCTTTTATTCTCCCATTTAAAGAATTTTTGCCTGACCCCAAATTATAAAGGTATTATTTTCTGTTATCTTCCAGAAATTTATTGTCTTACTGTTTCCTTTCATAATCCACCTGGAATTGATTTTTTTAAAAATTGAGATATAATTCATGTTCTACAAAATTTACGCTTTCAACATGTATGATTCAGTATTTTCAAAAATTTACTCACAAAGTTATCTAGTTCTACAACATTTCATCACCCCACAAAGAAATCCTGTACCCACCAGGAGTCACTCCCTTAGCTTTTACCAATCATTAATTTACTTTCTGTTTTATGGATCTGCCTATTTTGTACATATCATATAAGTGAAGTATTTATGGCTGGCCTCTTTCATTTAATGTAATGTATTTATTTATTTATTTGATACGGGAGATTGAACTCGGGTCCTTGCACTTGCGCAGCAGGCGGCAAAACCACTGAGCTAAATCCCCGGTCCTGTTTTCATTTATATTGTAGCATAAATGAGTCCTTCCTTCTCCCCCCACCCCCACCCTTTCTCCCTCTTCCTGACTGTTCACCTCCTTCCTTCCCCCACTTCCTTCTTGTGCTGCTGGGGACTGAACCTAGGTCCTTTGCATTGAGTTACACAGCCCCCCCCCCGCCTTTTTAACTTTTTGAGACAGAGTCCCAATAAGTTACTAAGTTGCCCAGGCTGGGCTGGAACTTGCAATCCTCCTGCCCTAGCCTCCTAAGTACTGTAGCTCGGATTATAGGCATGTGACACTAAAAACTGGATTTAAGGGTTGGGGATATAGCTCAGTGGTTCCACAGCCTGCCCCGCAAGCACAAGGA